CCATATCAGGGAGGAGGGAGGGGCCAGGAGCGCCGACGGGGGGACCCAAGAAGAAAAAGATTTGGGATGCTCTGTGCAAAAGCATTTCATTGATCAGGTAAGTATAGACATGTTTGTAATTTTAAAAAAAATAAGCCTTTAGAATCGCTTTAAATAGAAGCTCTCTGACAAAGTGCAGCACACTAAAAGATCACAAAAAGCAACACATCATTCCGCGATCTAAAGAAATTCAAGAACAGATGAGAAAGAAAGTCATTGACATGTATCAGTCTGGAAAGGGTTACAAAGCCATTTCTAAGGCTTTGGGACTCCAGAGAACCACAGTCAGAGCCATTCTCCACAAATGGAGAAAACTTGGAAAAGTGGTGGACCTTCCTAGGTGTCCAGCCTACCAAAACTACTCCCAGAGCACAACGACAACTCATCCAAGAGGTCATAGAAGAATCCAGAACAACATCTAAAGAACTGCAGGCCTCACTTGCCTCAGTTAAGGTCAGTGTTCATGATTCAACAATAAAAAAAAGACCAGGCAAAAATGGCCTCCATGGGAGAGTTCCAAGGCCAAAGACACTGCTGACCACAAAGAACACAAAGACTCATCTTACATTTGCAAAGAAAAATCTGGGATTATCCCCAGGACCTTTGGGAAATATTCTGTGGACTGATGAGGCAAAACTTTAATTTTTTGAAAGGCGTGCGTCCCGTTACATCTGGTGTAAAACTAACACAGCATTTCATAAGAAGAACATCATACCAACAGTGAAACATGGTGGTGGTAGTGCGATGGTCTGGGGCTACTTTGATGTAATTGATGGAACCATAAATTCTGCACTCTACCAGAAAATCCTGAAGGAGAATGTCAGGCCATCAGTTCCTGATGCGCTCAAGCGCACCTGGGCTCCCACATGGAAGAAAAATATATTTTAAATATATGTTTTAACTATTCTTCCCAAATATGTTGACATATACTTGAAATACTACAATTGTGGCCGTATTCAATATATTTAAAAATATTTTATTTATTTTTTTTTATATATATATATGTGTGTGTGTGTATATACTGTATGCTGAAATGCATTTTTTATATATTACAAAATATAAGAAATATTTTTAAAAATACATTTTTCAAATATACTGTATGTCTTTACAAAACACATTTTAAATTACTTTCTTATATGTTAAAAAAAATCTGAAAAATAAATTTTGAAAAAAAAAATATTTGTAAAATTATTTTTCATATATTTTGTAATATATTTTGGAAATATATTTTTTTTTAAAAAAATATTTGTAAAAATATTTTTCATATATTTTGTAATATGTAAGATACAGTGTGTGTATATATATATATATATATATGTGTATATGTATATATATATATATATATATATACACACACACACACTGTATGTTGAAATGTGTTTTTTATATATATGAATAAATAAATATATGAATTAAATATATGAAAAATATTTTTACAAATATTTTTTTTAAATATATTCTTCAGATTTTTTTTTTAACATGTAAGAAAGTAATTTAAAATGTATTTTTAAAGACACACAGTATATTTGAAAATGTATTTTTAAAAAATATTTTTCTTATATTTTTGTAATATATATTGTAATGTATAAAACACGCATCTATATATCATTATTATTATTATAATTATTTTTTTTTTTAAATATACTGTATTGAATAAGGCCACAATTGTAGTATTTCAAATATATGTCAATATATTTGGGAAGAATATTTGAAAAATATATTTAAAATATATTTTTCTTCCATGTGGGTTATGCAGCGGGGAGTTTGGGGGCAATTACTGTTTCACATAGGACAGGGCAGGTTTGGACAACGTTTTTGCCTCAATAAATGACGCCAGCATTTTATATGTACTCGGGTTATCTTATGCAATGTTAAACGTTGTCTGATGATCAGAATCATAAGTGTGACAAATACAGAAAAGAAAAAGATTCAGGAAGGGGACAAGCAGCTCTGTAATACATTTTAGTTATTGGGCTTAGAAACACTTTAGGGCCCCTTTCAGACGGGGTGGAGCTGGCAGCGGATCCGTTTTGCTCAGCGGTGGATCTCTCCTCTAATCCCCGCTGAGCAAGCGGATGACAGGTCTATGCTGCAGAGCGGACACGGCCTGCTTTTTCCTATAGGGCGATCCGATGGAAATGTACTGGCTGTCCATTTCCACCTGACTGTCATCCGTTTCGATCCGCCGGACAATTAGGGAATGGATCCCCATCCATCTGTTTTTGGTGTACAGGATCGGATGCCGGCAGGTGTCAGCGCTGGTCCATAGAGGATTGGACCGTCAGTGTCAAAGGGACCCTATGGGGGACAAAAGTTGCAGATCACAATTTTTACAGCAAGAAAGGTTTTTTGATGGAGGAAACTTTGTATCTCTGTGAAAACTCCTTTTACCTGTCAATTATCATTGCAATGCAACATACGGACCCACTCCTGACATCAGTATGATATCGAGAGTGGAGTACCAAGACGATGCCCCCAACACACATGAGCAAGAGTTACATCATCAGTGGTCATCCAATGGCCAAAGAGAGATGTTGTTGGACCAGGAGAAGATGGAAGAAGCCACTGATGGGCACACCGTGGAGAGTGAGGACCTCCAATGACTGGCGGGCACACCCGGGAGGGGGGTCTGCCACAGTGGCCAGGTCATACTTCCACCCAGGGGCGGACTGACCATTTGGAAACTCAGGCACTGCCCGAGGGCCTGGGGTCAGTAGGGGGCCCCATGAGATGCCCCTGGTACCTTTTTCATAGGGTTTTTTGAGTTTGGGCAAGGAAACAGGGGCCCCATGATCCCCTATTGCCCGGGGGCCCCATGTCAGTCTGCCCCTGCTTCCACCTTATGTCCAGAGCTTCGGGGGCCAGCAGTGGATTTAGTTCCACTGAAAGGCTCCTTCACACACAAGTGTGAGTTACCACTCGTGCTTTCCTTTTGTGTTAACACACCCCAGTGCCACAGAAACCACAACTGCACTATCGTTAACCACGCCAGCATTTGCACTGTAGCATGTGCTGCATATGTGCACTGAAACACAGAAACATAGAAAAGTCACAGCAGAAAAAGACGGAGTGGTCCATCCAATCTGCCCTTTTGTTGTGGGGTTTGTTTTAGGGGGGATGTGTTTGTTTTTTGTTTTTTGGGGGTTTTTTGTGTCTTTTTGGGGTTTTTTTGTTGGGGTTTTTTGTGCCCTTTGGTTTTTTTTTTGTTGGGGTTTTTTGTGTCTTTTTGTTTTCTTTTGTTGGGGTTTTTCGTGTCGTTTTTTTGTTGGGGTTTTTTGTGCCCTTTGGTTTTTTTGTTGGGGTTTTTTGTGTCTTTTTGTTTTTTTGTTGGGGTTTTTTGTGTCTTTTTGTTTTTTTTGTTGGTTTTTTTTTTTTGTGTCTTTTTGTTTATTTTGTTGGGATTTTTTTTTTTGGGGTTTTTTTTTGGGGATTTTTGTGTCTTTCATTCTGTATGAAGGACACTGCAAAGCAACAGAATATGCTGTACATTAACATGCGTTGGGGTAACATTGTGGAGTCAGCCTAGAGATGGACCTACACGTATCAATATGATGATTCAATGTGACTAATCTGATCAAAATAAAAATTGTACACCAAGGAACCTCCATTCCATCAATATAGTAAGTAACCTTTGTACTGCAGAATTCATCCAATCACTTTGATAGATTGAACAAATATCCATGTGTGTTGAGAACCAATCATAAATAAGATCAGATCCAACCATGGATTGAACAAATATCCATGTGTATGTTGAGAACCAATCATAAATCAGATCCAACCATAGACTGAACAAATATCCATGTTTAGTGTTGAGAACCAATCATAAATCAGATCAGATCCAACCATAGATTGAACAAATATCCATGTGTGTGTTGAGAACCAATCATAAATCAGATCAGATCCAACCATAGATTGAACAAATACCCATGTGTATGTTGAGAACCGATCATAAATCAGATCAGATCCAACCATAGACTGAACGAATATCCATGTGTATGTTGAGAACCGATCATAAATAAGATCAGATCCAACCATAGATTGAACAAATACCCATGTTTAGTGTTGAGAACCAATCATAAATCAGATCCAACCATAGACTGAACAAATATCCATGTTTAGTGTTGAGAACCAATCATAAATCAGATCAGATCCAACCATAGATTGAACAAATACCCATGTGTGTGTTGAGAACCAATCATAAATCAGATCAGATCCAACCATAGACTGAACGAATATCCATGTGTATGTTGAGAACCGATCATAAATCAGATCCAACCATATATTGAAGAAATATCCATGTGTATGTTGCAAGGAACGCAGAGCAGTGGATGAGTGCGTGAAACTGTTTCTGTGATTCAGTCTGAGAGGCAAAAAAAAAAAAAAAAATCCAAGTGTATGTTGAGAACCAATCATAAATCAGATCAGATCCAACTATAGATTGAACAAATACCCATGTGTGTGTTGAGAACCAATCATAAATCAGATCAATTAATAATCAATTTGAATAGATGATTTACATTTATAAATTGTGGCCGGCATACATGGAACAATTTTATATATGACCATATCGTCTAATGCTAGAAATAAACACTGGGGGGGGGGGGGAGGGTTGATTAAAAAAAATGCATAGCCATTCATCCATCGAATCTGCATTTCATTCATTCTGTCAAATGTTATTAGGGTGTTTCCTTTTCTGAATGAATGCTTTATTAAGGTCATAGTATAATACCATATTATGGCCACTAATAGAGGTGAGGAGGGTGGGAAACACATTACTGTAACAAGAGATACAATGTAACACAATGTAATACAATGTCATTCTACAGCAGACTTTCTCAACCTTTTCAGCACAGAGAAACCCTTGAAATAACTTTCTGGCCTCAGAGAACCCGACTACAAATGACTGTATCTACAAGTCATGATACATTAGTGTGATGGTCAGGGGGAAGAATGTCCCTTACATTGGGGGTCAGTGGGAAGAATGTCCCTTACATTGGTGATCAGTGGGAAGAATGTCCCTTACATTGGTGGTCAGGGGGAAGAATGCCCCTTACATTGGTGATCAGTGGGAAGAATGCCCCTTACATTGGTGGTCAGTGGGAAGAATGCCCCTTACATTGGTGGTCAGTGGGGGAAGAATGTCCCTTACATTGGTGATCAGTGGGAAGAATGTCCCTTACATTGGTGGTCAGTGGGAAGAATGCCCCTTACATTGGTGGTCAGTGGGAAGAATGTCCCTTACATTGGTGATCAGTGGGAAGAATGTCCCTTACATTGGTGATCAGTGGGAAGAATGTCCCTTACATTGGTGGTCAGTGGGAAGAATGTCCCTTACATTGGTGGTCAGTGGGAAGAATGCTCCTTACATTGGGGGTCAGTGGGAAGAATGCTCCTTACATTGGTGGTCAGTGGGAAGAATGTCCCTTATATTGGAGGTCAGTGGGAAGAATGCTCCTTACATTGGGGGTCAGTGGGAAGAATGTCCCTTACATTGGTGATCAGTGGGAAGAATGCTCCTTACATTGGTGGTCAGTGGGAAGAATGTCCCTTATATTGGTGGTCAGTGGGAAGAATGTCCCTTACATTGGTGATCAGTGGGAAGAATGTCCCTTACATTGGGGGTCAGTGGGAAGAATGCTCCTTACATTGGTGGTCAGTGGGAAGAATGCTCCTTACATTGGTGGTCAGTGGGAAGAATGTCCCTTACATTGGTGATCAGTGGGGAAGAATGTCCCTTACATTGGTGATCAGTGGGAAGAATGCTCCTTACATTGGTGATCAGTGGGAAGAATGCTCCTTACATTGGTGGTCAGTGGGAAGAATGCTCCTTACATTGGTGATCAGTGGGAAGAATGCTCCTTACATTGGTGATCAGTGGGAAGAATGCCCCTTACATTGGTGATCAGTGGGAAGAATGCTCCTTACATTGGTGGTCAGTGGGAAGAATGCTCCTTACATTGGTGGTCAGTGGGAAGAATGTCCCTTACATTGGTGATCAGTGGGAAGAGTCCACCCTTACAGATAGCTAAAAAGACCAATGGTGTCAGTGGGAACTTATCTGAGAGGCAGAACCTGCTCATCGCTCAAGGAACACTTAGCAACCTCTGGAGGAACCCTATGGTTCCATTGAACCCTGGTTGAGAATCCCTGGTCTAGAGATTAATGGTTGCATTTTTTTGCTAATTCCCACTAGTGTTCTCTCCTCTAGAATTGTTACATTGTATTTCTTGTTATAAAAATGTGTTTCCTGTAGGGATGCACTGATATAATTTTTTTTTTGTTTTTTTTTATCAGTGAGTACTGTTACTTTTGGTCAACTACTCGCCAATACTGAGTACCGATACTTTGCGGTGTGATTTGCGTTAATGGATGCAAATCAGGATTTCAAATCCCTGCTGCTTTCTCTCCTCTCCTACCACTGATACTCAACATGGGGTCAGTGCAGGGAGGTTTCCCTCCCCGTGTGACTCGGGCTATGACAAGCCTGGGTTCACACAAGAGCAGTGGGGACACCGCATATGATTTGTGCAGGAAACGCATTCCTGTTCATATCGCATGCTAATCTTTGCGGTGCAATTTGTGTCCACTAAGGCAAAGTATCTGGAGTATTTTCATGAATCCTCGTATTGGTATTGGTGCATCCCTAGTTTCCTGTGCTCTGCAGCTTCATCCAATGGCCATCATGCAGCATTTTGCTACTGTCCTCAAGAACATTCAATCAGACGAGGAAATAGCTTAAAGTGGTTATAAAGGTTGTTTTTTTTTTTCTTTAAAATAATAAACACATCATACTTACCTGCTCTGTGTAATGGTTGTGCACAGAGCATCCCCGATCCTCCTCTCCTCAGGTCGCCCGCTGGCGCTTCTGGTCCCTCCAGAGCAAGCGGCACTCATGTGTGGTCGCTCCCAAGCCGCCTCTGTGTATCTATGACATGGCTCATCCTCGCCCCCCACTCTCTCCTCATTGGCTGTCTCAGTCAGTGAGGAGGGAGAGACCTGGGAAAGCCTCAGCTCTCATGCACATTGCTGGATCAGGATCAGGCTGAGGTAAGTATTGGGTGGGGGGGGGGGGGTTGAGGGGGAAGCTTCTTTACCTTCATGCATAAAATGCACAAATGTAAAAAAAAAAAAAAAAAAAAAACTTTCAGCCTTTAGCCCCGGGTTCACACTGATGCGATGCAGAATTTGCAGCGTTTTCTGTGCAAACTCCGCACCGCATCAGAATCGCACCCCATTCATGTGAACCACTGCGGGTGTGTATGTTAACACCCCAAAATCGGTCCACAAACTGCAGTGCGATGTGCAGAATCAGATTGCAGAGGTGTGAAGACCCGTGCGATCTGATTCTAGTGCAGACCAAAAAAAGTTTCCTGCACCTTTTTGGTGGGGGTGCGGTGTGATTAGACCCATACAAAATGTATGACTCCGATCGCACAGCACACAAATGTGATTGGCAGGGAATGCGGTGCGGTTCCTGTGCGAATCACATGCGATATACCGCACATGTAAACCCGGGCTTACAACCACTGTGAAAAAACTTCTTTTGTCCAATTCACCAGAATGAATGTACAGTACGTACAGTGAAGGTAATGCATATTTGCTCCCCCCTGATGTTGAATGTTCGCCCCTCACAAAGAAATGATCGGTCTAACAATGGAATGTTCGGTGTAACACTGAGAGACAGAATACAACAACAAATTCAGCAGAAATTCGTCTAACAAATGATGACGGATCTGCATGTTCATGAGGGAAAGAAGGATTTGATCCCCTATCATTCAGCAGGATTTCTGGCTACCAGGTGTCTTTCATACAGGTAACAAGCAGGGGCGGACTGACCATTTGAGCACTCGGGCACTGCCCGAGGGCCCAGGGACAGTAGGGGGTCCCATGAAATGCCCCTGGTACCTTTTTATTGGCTTATTTGGGTGTGCTTTGAGTGTGGGCAAGGACACAGGGGCCCATGATCCCCTATTGCCCGGGGGCCCCATGAGTTGTCAGTCCGCCCCTGGTAACAAGCTGAGATTAGAAGCAGTCTCTTAAAGGGAGTGCTGCTAATCTCATTTTGTTCCCTGTATAAAAGACACCTGTCCACAGGAGCAATCAAACCATCAGATTCCAAACTCTCCACCATGGCAAAGACCAAAGAGCTGTCCAAGGATGTCAGGGACAAGATGGTAGACCTACACAAGGCTGGACTGGGCTACCAAACTATGGCCAAGCAGCTTGGTGAGAAGGTGACAACAGTTGGTGCAATCATTCACAAATGGAAGAAACACAAAACAAGTGTCAGTCTCCCTAGGTCTGGTGCACCATGCAAGATCTCACCTCGTGGAGTGTCAATGATCATGAGAACAGTGAGGAATCATCCCAGAACTACACGTGAGGATCTTGTCAATGATCTCCAGGCAGCTGGGACCACAGTCACCAGGAAAACTGTATAGATTAGCTGAAAAAAAGGCTTCATGCAAATGTTTTATAATCAGACCCCATAACGATCGTACTGATCTGTCAACTTTCCTACAATCGGGTTTTCCATCCAGACCAGCTGGAATTATTTTGATGAAATCAATTAGTTTTGCCCAAAATCGGTCAATGAAATCGTAGATGTCTTTTCAGACATTCATAGATTCGATTCTATTGACTGATTCCGTGACGAACTGTTCGATCAGATTGTTGTGTGTATAGCCACCATAATTATTATTATACAGGATTTATATAGCGCCAATAGCTTGTATTATTGATTATTCTACTTTGAGTCGATCGCAAAATGCAGAACAATACCGTTCACTATCTTAAATGATGATAGCATCACAAATGATGACGGATCACCACAAGGATGGCCACTGTCTGTTTTTGCTAGCCTAAAGCCCCGTACGAACGATCAGAAAATCATTTGAAAAATGTCGCTTTCAAAGTGATCGAACGATAAGCAGATCATTAGTACACAGTAATGGTCCGAAATTACTCGAAGGGACAAGCACGAAAATTTTTGTCGTTCGATAACAGTTTGTACAAATATACAATATAAATACATGACAATGCATGACGTCACTTCTGAATTTTTATTCTGTCCTACGATCATTTTTCTAACTTTAACCACTTCCCCTCCAGTCATTGTATATAAACGGCCAGACGGTGGCAGTGCAGGGTCGGGTGGTCATTTATAAACAGCCTCCCTGCCCCCTGCTTGTGCACGCTCCTTGGGAGCATGCAGCACCGCGATCGGTGCCCGCTGTGTCCTCCGGACACAGTGGAACACCGATCGTCGGACGGAACCTCTGTGCGAGGTCCCGATCATGTGATCACTGATTGGCCAATCAGTGATCACATGCAGAGTAGTAGCAAGATGTCACTTCTGACATCATTGCTTACTATGTGTGAAATCTGTGAATGATCACTGAGGTCACATGGTACAGGGCTATTCACAACAGCCTTGCACCATGTGACAAGCTGTGACTAATCACAGCTCCCACAGTATTTCTCAATGGCTGCAGGAATGCAGCCAGAGAGGAGAAATTATTGCCTTTATGGGTGTAAAAGCAATCAGTATAAAAAAAAAAAAAAAAAAAAAATCTTCATCACCCCCACAAGTAGTACAGTGTCACCATGGTGACACTGTACTGCTAGGGTGACAGTATGTAAAAAAAACCACAAATAATATTAAAAAATAAAATTAAAATGTAAAAAAAAAATTTAAAGTATAATTTTTGGTTATAAACTAATTTGGGTTATTTTTTTTTTTTTTTTTACTAAAAAGATAACTGAATAAATGTTGACCAAGATTTATGATGAAATATTATTTATTTGCAAAATTTTATAAGAAAAACACTTTTTTTCAAAATTTTTGGACTTTTTCATTTATATAGCAAAAAAAAAAAAAATCCCAGCGGTGAATAAATACCACCAAAATAAAGCTTTATCTGTCTCAAAAAAAATGCTAAAATATTCTTATGGGTACAGTGTTGCATGACCGCGCAATTGTCATTCAAAGTGTGACAGCGCTGAAAGCTGAAAATTGGCCTGGGCAGGAAGGGGGGTGAAAGTGTCCGGACTGGAAGGGGGGGAAAGTGTCCGGACTGGAAGGGGGGGGAAAGTGTCCGGACAGCAAGGGGGGGAAAGTGTCCGGACTGGAAGGGGGGGGGAAAAAGTGTCCGGACTGGAAGGGGGTGAAAAGTGTCCGGACTGGAAGGGGGTAAAAGTGTCCAGACTGGAAGGGGGTGATAGTGTCCGGACTGGAAGGGGGGAAAGTGTCCGGACTGGAAGGGGGGAAAGTGTCCGGACTGGAAGGGGGGAAAGTGTCCGGACTGGAAGGGGGGTAAAAGTGTCCGGACTGGAAGGGGGGGGAAAGTGTCCGGACTGGAAGGGGGGAAAGTGTCCGGACTGGAAGGGGGGAAAGTG